TACATTCTCTTAATGAATAGAATGATTTGTTCTAATGGTGTTTGTAAATAGGATCTCAAGTCCGCATCTTGTACAGCAATTAACCATTAAGAAGAATATATGCAGTGTGTTAGTTATTGAAACTGTCCTACCGATTTGATTTGAAACTGTCTCATTGCTGTTTATCAATAAAATTATGAAAAAAAATAAAATCTTCAGACCTAAAAAAAAAAAGTAATGTTAAAAAGGTATTAAGATTAGGGCTTTGTTTCCTTTTACTGTTGTAACAAATTAGCATAAATCTAGTGGATAAACACAATGTAAATTTATCATCACATAGCTCTGGAGGTCAGAAGTCTGAAATGTATTTCTTTGGGCTAACATCAGGGAGATAGCAGCGTTAGCTGCCTACAGAGGTGTTAGGAGGTCCTGCGTTTCTTTTGCTTCTCTAGCTGCGGGAGGCTACCTGTATTCCTTACCTTCTCAGAGTTTCCTTCATTGTTCTATTTCTCTCTTCTCTTATCCCTGCTTTTGCTGTCATACGCTCTTTAATCTGACTCCTTCATTGACATACCACCCTCTTATTCTCTGAGTTTCTTGCTTCCTTATAAGAGCATGATTACTTTGGGGCCAACTGGATAATTCGGGACCATCTTTCCATCTTGAGATCCTTAATCCCATCTGTAAATCACCTTTATGGGGTAACGAGTTCACAGGTTCCAGGTACTGGGACATGGACATCTTTGCTGGACTATTACTCAGCCCTACTACATAGTAGAAGGCAGATTTTTAAATTTTAAATATTTAGGCTTCAGTTTTCATAGATTTCTTGAAACTGTCTTTGGAAACCCAGAAATACATACTTTGTAGTCTTCTTTTAATGGAAATGTGTGATAAAAATGAATTTCTATAAAATTAGAAAATAGTCTTATGTTCAACATTAAATTTGAGTTGGTGAAAAAGCAATTTAAATTTTAATATGTGCTACTTCATTGAAGGCAGAGATAGTTTGTCAGAATTTTAAATTTTTACTTAACATAATGTTAGATTTACAGTAGGTACTTGCCAAAACTTACAAAGCTATAAATATGATTGGTTAATGCGCCGCAATTCTTGGGTGGTAAGTATTTTAACAAGTGGTGTGAATACATATATACACAGATATGCACACTGTTCTGTTATGGTATTGCTTGACAAGTGTTAGGGTCACTGTGGTCTTCTAGACTTCATTTTCCAGGAGTTCTTTTGCAGGCTCTTTCTTTGCCTTTGACGGCATTAACTTCTCCAGTTAACTACTGTTCCTCCCTCTGCTTAAGTCAGAGCACTGCTGGGTATCTGTCCTTGAAATGCTGTAGTCTGAAATGATTGCATTCAAGATGGTATTGACTTGTTTCATCTTTCCTTGTAGTGGATTTTCTTTCCCTTACCACAAATGAGTAAGTCTGTCCAGTCTCAAGATCTTTTGAATGTAGGCAGAAAACTGGATTTGTTCTATATTTTGAGGCTACTGTTTAGATATAGAAATAATGTTCAATACTAGTAATCTTTTAAGGTTAGTAGTTGTTGGCCATCACTTTCACTATGACTGGTATCTCATTCTCATCATTTTCCTCTTTGTATATGTGCATGAAAGAGTAAATCAGGTGGTGTGGGAGATCAGCTGTAGTCCTTGTGAATTAGTCATTGCAGTAAAGCTGAACTGACTCAGTCCAGCCCTGCTGAAAGAATCACCTGTTCACAAGGCAGCTTTGAGTCTCGGATTGCTTACAGATGGGAAGTGCATGGAGCACTGCGGCTGATTACTTTGATCATGGTATTTTTCATAGAGTTCTTTCACTGAAAGGATGAGGTCCCTTTTATCTCCATGTGGAAATACAGAACTGTACATCTTTCCGAGTCTTTACATAGTCTAAAGATGTACAGTTGATTGGAATTAGTGTTTTAGTCTTTATTGAGTTTGGTTTCCAGATGACGTGCTGAGCCTGGGGTTGGGGAGGGGTGGCCTCGTAGTTACCATAGAGTTGCCATACATGACACTTGAGATTTCTGAGTACATCATTTGAAAAGAAACTATGTTAATTGCTTACATTTTTATTTACAGCTGCAGCTGAAGGAAAAGGCAGAAGTGGGGAAGACTTTTTTCAGAAGGTAAGTGTGTTTGACTGTTGCCTTGGGTGGGAATAAGTTGGAAAATACCCCAGTTTCAGCAGCTGCACCAGAGGCATCTGAGAGCTCCCCAGGCATATGAGAAATAGGTTTTGATGATTTAACTGGAAGTAGTCAAGGAAGGAAAGGTAGTGATGCTCCATGGTACTGTCCATTCTAAGAAGGCTCCTTCCAGGGCAGCCTGATGAAGGTTTTGTTTGGAAATAAGGAGACCAGGAGACTGTCAGATTAGTTTCTTATGGAGAAGGCAGCACAGTACTTTCCTGATTAGTGCTTTTACTATTACTCTGTATTTCTCCTTTTGTCCCAAATTGCCCAACTTGGGAGGTGAAGAGAAATCCCCCCAGCTTTTCCTATGGTAGGCATGAGGATGGACAGGGAAGAAAAATCCATAATTCAGAATGTCAAGGCAGATATGGCAGTGCATCCAAAGGCACTCATGAAGAGGACTTCCAGCACTGCTTCAGAAGTAAGAAGAATCATGGGACAAGTGTGCTTGAAATGAGGAAGAGTTTTTTGAGGAGGGTTAATGCCAGTATGTGCTTTTCATGATGGGTCTAGAAAGCATTGTGGAAGATTAAGGAAAAGAGGCCCTTGAGACCTTCTCATCCATAATTGGTCACTATATCCCCTCTGTCCCTGCTGTCGCCTGCAGGTCCTAACCGTCAGGGAGGGCAGCAGGGCCAGAAGACTGAAAGGGGAGCTGAAGCTGATGGAAAAATGACAATAAGAATTACAGAGGGTTGTTTCATTGCTCAAAATGAGTATTTTGTACAAAGGCAGATACTGCCCTTCCTAAAAGAGCGATATGAGTCCGTATTCTCCTTTCTGTTGTCCAGCTGGGATTACTGTATTTGTTTTTCATGGGGGTCCAGAAAGCATTGTGGAGGAGCAGCCATACAGCTGTGCCACAGGAAGGGAAGCTGTCCTGTGCGTGAGGATAAATTGCATGGGTGGTGTCCTGGCTTAGAGCTAGACGTTCCTTCCCCAAAGCCCAGTAAGATCTTAGGGGTCTGGGGAGGTGAGTGGTCGATGTGGGTGGCCTGGGTGGCTTGCTGTTTGGAAGTGGGGTCTGGCTGAAGGAGACAGGGTGCTTTCTTCTGGATTTTTATAGGGACTTAAGCTAAGAGTTGGCCTTCAGTCTCAAGGGAGACTTGCACCTTCAGCAGTGCTGAAACTGTTGTGACTTCAACTTTTAGAGATGAATTAAATGCCATCTGCATATTACAGTATACATGCATACTCACATGTTTAACAATATAATTTATAATAGCTATATCCTGGAAACAGCCTGTATGCCCATCAGTAGAGGAGTGGATAAAGAAGATTAAGTATTGTTACATAATAGAGTACTACTCCTCCATTAAGAAGGATACACTTGAGGCATTCATAGGATAAGTGGAAGCATTTTGAAACTATAATATTAAGTTAAATAAATCAGAAACACAAGCTTAAATGTTACATGGTTTCTCTTACATGAGAAAGTCAAAACATAAAGAGCAAAATAACAGGTATATGATAGCAGATAGGAAAATCGTTTTCATGTGAGAAGGGGACCAAGAGATAGAGCAGGGAGGAACAAGCGGGATGGAGGATGAAAGAAGTTTGAGGATGTGTCTTGTCCGTGAACCACAGTAAATGTAGTTGTGTGCTGCACGTACATGCTAATAAAGATAATAGATGCATTCAGAACAAGCCTTTTGGGGGCCAAGTGAAGAATTTTGTGGTTTTTGTCTTGGGAATCCCCAGAAGTCTCACGTGGTTAAGGTGGGGATTTGGGGAAGCAGTTGGGTCATGGAGGTGTGTGTGGCTGGCGAGCTGTTGGGAGGTGGGGCTGGGTAGGGAATGTGAAGCTGTTGGGGCCAGGTGCCAGCTGAGTCTCCTCAGCTCTTCTGTCTCTTCTTCCCGTCTCTCATGCCTTGAGCAGCTCTCCTCTACCAGGCCCCTGTGCCGTACCATCCTGCTTTGGAGCCTGCCAACTCTTGACTGAAATGTGAGTCAAAACGAGCCTCTCTTCTCTTACACTATGAGTGTCAGATGTGTTTCCTAGCAGTGAGGGAAGTCGCTAAGACAGGATCATCATTTCCTTTGGAAAACACCTGTGTGGAGCACAGATGGAGTTGTACAAATCTTGTTGTTCTCTTTCCTTCTGCTGTTTCCTGTCTTTCTTTTTGGTCAATTGCACTATTCCTCTGTATTTCTTTCAAGGAAATTAGGGAGAGTATTTAAATGTTAACAGAGATGATGTTTACACTGCCATTTCTTCCTTTTAGAAAGGCTCATGTACCACCTGCTATGAGCTGCACACACAGAAGAGACAGAAGTGAGCCAGGCATAGTCCCTGCCTAAAAGGAAGATGTGTTGCTTGGTTGTGTGGTTCCATGTGGAGAATCTGGGGCCACAGCAGGTTAAAGGCTTGCCTGTGCCCTTAGGAAATTAGCAAGGGCTTCTTGAGGTCTTTGAAAGAGTAGAAGTTAGCCAAGTGAGGGAGAGACACTGGGTGGAGAAAGACATTCTGTGCAAAGACATACCGTGGAGGGGAGCTCAAAATAGATACATTCCTGTGATGCTGTGATGCAGACATTTGTTGGCTCATGACTTGCGAGGGGTTCACCCTGTTAGGTGAGCCATGTTATCTTCTGTGTTGAAGTAGCTTTTTGTATGGAGATATCATTCCTAAAGGGATTTAAATTAAAATAATTGACAAATGCTAATACTTTGCTTTACAAATAGAATGTTCCAGCCCACACTTTAGTTCCATCCAGCTGAGTTATGGTTGAAGTCCCTGCCATGGTATTATTGGAATCAGTTACCATCCAAATTGCATTTGCCACCTGGACAGTGAGCTGGAATGGGCTTGCCGACCAGGGTAAGAAAATAGAAGTTGAATGACCGGAATCGTAGACTTGCTTCTGGTTGGTTGTGAAGGTGCACTTAGGTGCTATCTGCAGATTTTTTTCTTCATTGTTTTTTGACTTGCAGATGTAAAAAGCAGACTGTTCAGCTTTGTGTGAGTCAGACATTTAAAAAGCTGAATCAAAATATGATGTGTATGGTCACAGAGGGTTTTCATTCTTAGAAGACTTGCTAATATTTATTGCCCTTTGTGGAGCCATATATACATTCCTGCAGCTTAAGTAGAAACACATGTTTGAATCCGGGAACACATGTGAATCCCACAAACCCTCAAGTTGGGACTGGTAGAATCTCTTCTTGGTCGCAGGTTGGATGGCGTCTCCAAAGACCTAACATGGAAGTCATTTTTATCTCCTCATTCTCTCCTTTAGTTCACTAGAAAGTGGCTTCTTGATGGGTAGGTGTCCTTACAGCACTTCATACTTGTCCAGGACAAGCTCGTGAGCTAATGAAAGGCGAACACCTCCCGTTCCAGAAGAATGACTTTCAGTGTTTCACACACAGAGAGAATAGATAGTGTGGTTCATCTGCAGCAAAATGAAGGAGTGGAGAAACTCTGAGTTTCTGAGTTCTCTCAGGAACTTTCATTTGAAATCTTTGAAAATATTTAAAAAGAAATAGGCTCCAGTGTTTCTCACTGGCGTTTTTTGAGGATATACTTTTTTCCTCCCAGAATAAGGCAAATTTTCTGAAGTGTCAACATGCTTAATATTGGAATGTTTTTTAATTTGACTCTGGGGTGTATATATGAAATAAAAATTAAAACCTCTGTATAGCAGGGTGTCAAGTTCAATTAGCCTAATCATTATAAATTCATTTTCCAAATCTGGAGGGCCCCTCCCTACTTCATGGTAGCTGTCCCAAAGCAGGGGTGAGAGGAGGGGTGTGAAGTTTCTGTGTATTACCCTGTTTTTTGGGACCCTAACACATATATGTAAGATAATATCAGTACATTTATACTAATTGAATTATACAACATTCAGTTAGTTAATATTCTCATTTATGTTTTCAAAGTAGAAAAACTAAAATTTAAGTGTATCTTTCAGAATAATAATTGGAGTTTGAGTTTAGGAGATAATAAGGGTGTGAAATATGTTGAATTTGAAGCTGTAATACTAATTGTTCAGTTTTTTGTACAAATCTCTCAAAAAATTGAAGTTACTGTTTCTTCTACTAACATCCTAAGCCTGCTCCATTCTCCTTTTCTTGTGTTTGGAAAGCTTTATGTCTCTGATGCACAATTAGGTAAAAGGCTAAGTAAGCTGCTAGAACAGAGAAACCACAGTGCAGTGGCATAAAGAATGGATTCTTCCCCCCAAAACTGAAGGTAGAGGTTTTAGTCAAGCAGCTAGTCCCCTTCTTGGTGTCCTCCCGAAAGAAAAGCATTATACCACAGGGCTATATACACACCTGTGTTCCAGCAGCACAGTTCGTAATAGCCAAGCCTTGGAAAGAGCCAGGTGCCTATCACCTGGTGAAGGATAAGATGTGTTACACGGTGAAGCACTACTCTGCCACAAAGAAGAGGCAGCTTGGGGCGTTGCTAGTTGGATGGACGCACTGTGAGGCCATCCTCTTAAGGGAAATAAATTGGATAGAGATGTTTAAACATTACATTGTTTTTCTGCTGTGAGAAATTGAAGATAAGGACCAGAACGTATCATTGACATTGGGAAATGGGAAGAAAATGTTCAAATTAGAAGGGGAACAAAGGAGGGGTAGGGAGGAAGGAAAGAAGGGAAAAGTAAAAAATGAACAAAAAGATAAATGGAAACAAAGCTTTTTTTAAATAAAGAGGAGAAGGGGAGCTGGAGGGAGGGGAGGGGAGTGGGAAATAAAGAAGAAGCCAGATCTATCATGGATAGGTACAAAATCTATGATGAATGGGATCATTATGTATATCTAAAATATACCAATAGAAAAAGACAGCAAAAAGTAATTTTTTGTTCTGCTGTCAGGTGATGCTGGACAGGACGCATTCCAGCTCAGTGGGAGCTGTGCCCTGAGCCTCCAGCTAGACTCGGGTTCCTTCTGTGCCACGGCGTGGCTGTGCTTCGGAGTGTGGA